CTAACATTGATCGATTCACGATTTCCAAGTAACTTCACTCTCTCCAGAATATCGATCAAAAACATTTAAAATTTTCATTTAAGGTTTCAATGAAACTCAACAATCTTTACAATCCTGTATACTTAATAGTGACCAGTTTCGTGAGGATATTTTCGGAGGTCTAGTAAGAAATCGTGACCATCGGCATTGAACTCCGTCCGGATATGAGGCAATTACCATCGAAAGACAATCGATAATGGTCGCACAATACAGTGAATTGGTTGAAGTTTAACATTAACACCACTGGATACTGATTGGAGTAATCTAGAAATCGATAGTCCTGAGATCGAGTTTCGCGAACAGCGGTCACGGGTGCATGCTGCCACTGATGAGTCCCATATACTAGGACGAAACAGACGTCCACCACTTCCAGGTTTCTTTATACTAATAGTCTAACGTTGGCCAGTTTAGAATTTTTATGATTTTATTGACTTCAGATGACAATATTTCAAGGAAATCAATACAGGTACCACATATTTCTCACAAAAACACTGTTTGGGATGTTAGATCCCCAAAACTCGCTTGATAAATGCCCCGATTTTGGATTTCACGTTTGCCAGCATGGGGTCATCAGTTGACCTTCAAGATTTCATTTCCCACCAGGAAAATCCATGGCTATGATTGGCTGCTGTGTATTTCAGTGTGCTATTTTCGTGACTGTCCCAAGGATGTTACTATGATGTTGTATAAATAAATGAGAGTTGTGTGTTTGATTGTATTGTGGTTGCTGGGTATTTGTAGAATATACTTTCTACGCTTTCAAAGCTTTTTTGTTTTACAGTTTGGGATTCAAGGTAGCATATCTGGACGCCGAACGAGACAGTGAACCAGCGTCCAGATAGGCTACCTCGAATCCCAAACTGTAAAACAAAAAAGCTTTGTAAGCGTAGAAATTGTATTCTACAAACACCCAGCAATCACAATATAGTCAAGCACACAACTCTCGTTTATTTATCCAACATCATAGAAACGTCCTTGGGGCAGTTACGAAGATAGCACACTAAAATACGCAGCAGCCAATCACAACCATGGATTTTCCTGGTTGGAAATGAAATCTCAAATTCAACTGATGAGCCCATGCTGGCAAACATGAATTCCAAAACAAGGCATTTAACAAACGAGTTTTAGGGATCTAACTCACTTATTTAACAATTGAACACATATTTCCGCAGTTACTTAAAAAGAATATCAATTCATAGTGTAATAAAAAATAACTTGACAATATTTTCAATGTTAAATTTAGAAATTCAAACAATGATTGATTGATAATTTCAAAAATGTGTGAAACCATTATTCTCCATAACTATAATTGAAAATATCGTAAAATGTGTTCACTAGTGACTAGTAGCTTCGTGAGGAAATTCTCAGAGTTCTAGTTGAGAAGACGTGAACAGTGAAGTTCAACCCTGTCGGTTGTAGTAGGCAGTAACTACTACCAAAGACAAATGGATGAGATCGTACGAAAATCTCTAGATCAATCAAAGTTACACAATAACACCGTTGGATGCCACCAGCTCATTGGTCCGATGGTTAGGCGTTCGCGCACAATACCGAAGGTCCCGGATTCGAATCCCGCGAGGTGCGGAGGTCGTAGATGCGCACTGCCACTGATGAGTAGTCCCATTCACTAGAACGAAACAGCCATCTAGTGCATCCAAATTTCTTCTAATGGAATGTAATCAGACATTGATCAATTCATATTTTCAAACTGGTTAAAAGTAATCAGGGTTTTTTCTTTACTTTTGAAAAAAAATAATAGTCCCATAGGCGACATGGATCATTTGTTAGGATTGTTGTTTAAACGATCAACAACAAAAAAACCACACACATAATGATGATTATTTTTTGTTGCTGTTGTTATTGGTAATGACATAATAATAATGATGTTTATCCTCACACATGTTCGAGGTCGCTTTTGTCTGTTTGCGTAAACAGTTAGTTACCATTGCATAATAATTATGTTGTCAAATCAACCGATTTTCTGATTGTTCAAAATGAACTTATTATCGGATTAAAAAAGCAAACAAGGAGGATTCTTCTTCTAATCCTGCCCTCCAATTTGTATGTGTGTGAGTGTGTGTGTGTGTATTTCGGTGGATGTGAATTGTTGTACCCACTGGTTGGTGGTGCTTTGATCTGATCTGATCTATGCTTACTGACACACACACGCACACAAGCAATCAATTTGAATAACTTGCTTTAGGGCACACATATACTACTGTTACTACTACACATTGTACATTGTACAATTAATTATGTGAAGTTTATATATATATATTTTTCGATATTTTAGTAACAATCACAATAAACTTTTTTAAAAAAAAAGTGAAAACAAGTTTTATTTCTCATCTATTTACAAGATTTAGAGAGAGAGAGAGCGAAAAAAAAGATACTAATCACATAGAAACTAAACGAAAACACATAAATGATGAGACCTGAATGGAGAAAGAAAATAATTTGCTTTAGGCTTTAAAAAAAATTTGCGAGAAAAATAGAGAGAGATTACAGTTTGCTTTTTTATTTTTAACGAATCCAATATGTGTTCGTTTGTTTGTATGTGTGTTTTTTGGCGCCAATTAAATGAAGTAGTGATTAAGGTGGTTGTTTGATCATCTACTTTGAACAAAACAAAAAGATTTATTTTTCAATTAGAGTTATGGAGATCAGTAGTGTTGTTACACACATTTTTGAAATTATTAATCATCATTAGAAGTAACCTGTAAGCACTGGATGGCTGTTTCGTCCTGGTGTATGGGACTACTCATCAGTGGCAGTGCGCATCTACGACCTCCGCACCTCGCGGGATTCGAACCAGGGACCTTCGGTATTGTGCGCGAACGCCTAACCATCGGACCACTGACCTGGCGGCATCCAACGGTGTTAATGTGTAACTTTGATTGATCTAGAGATTTTCGCACGATCTCACCCATTTGTCTTTGGTAGTAGTTACTGCCTACTACAACCGACAGGGTTGAACTTCACTGGTCACGTCTTCTCAACTAGAACTCCGAGAATTTCCTCACGAAGCTACTAGTCACTAGTGAACACATTTTACGATATTTTAAATTAGAGTCAGGGAGATTAGTGCTTTTACACATTTTTGAAATTATCAATCAACGATTGTTTGAATTTCCAGATTTAACATTTAATCCTGCACCTCGCAGGATTCGAACCCAGGACCTTCCGTATTGCGCGCGATTGTCTAATCTCTGGATCACTGGGCCAAACGTGAGATCATCCACTAATCGAAGCTAGATCATTTTTAGCAGCCTGGAAGTACTAGATGGCTGTTTTGGTCCTAGCACCGGGATTCATCAGAAATATGCATCTATACAACTGTACAACTGGGGGGGGGGAAATAAAACCTTCGTTCTTCAGCGCGACATACTTAACCTCTATACCACTGAATCGACATCTTTTTATCAGGAAATATTTTCCACACATTTTTTCCCTACCTTCACGAAGTTATGTAATGATTTCATCATAGGGATAAAAATAAGTATACTAACTTGCGATCAATTATATCGATGAGGACAGACTCGAATCAACTTGGTGAGATATAACTTGAAATGTAACAGATCATTACGAATTTATATCAGCTGTGAAGTTTTGTTGATTAGAAATTATTTACTGATGATACTACTTAATATTAGTAAGGATGGCAGATCAATGGGTGAAGTAGTGAATGTTTATCAGATGAGATGGTTGGAACATGTATTATGTATGCCTAACCACCGACTGCTTCAGCAAGCGATGATACCTGGTGTAGGAGTAGGCTGGGAGAAGACTACAGGCAACCAAACTATAACGTGGTACAAATCCATGAAGACACTAAAAACTGGGCTGAGACATGTTGGTAGATGTAGTTTACCTAGTTTGGGTCTGCGAGACGAAAGTCACCAATAGTTAGAGACCTTGAACGACATGGCTCGAAATTGTCTGCAGTGGAATAGGTGCATCCATTGTTTGTTTTGTCTCAAATTCTTATCTTCAGAATTCATCATTATCTCAATCTTTCTCTTTCTAACATTATCTCACTGAAGTATACTTCTTGCATAATATCTTCGATCCCTAATCTTCTCCATTACTGCTAATACTTCTACTATCGCTATCACTCTTGTATTTGAACTGACATTTGCGTCTCTGTGCTGATGTGGTATAGCAACGTGAACTGATGTGCATATGTACGTACGTACGAAGTTCTACATTGTAGCTGACTGACTGACTGATTGATACTACCTAATAGATAAATAATATTTTTCAATTCAAAAAATACATCTACAACCTTCTCCTCATTTAAAATTATTATCCTTTTACATTTTGGTACATGTTGTTCATAATATTTTTCAAACAAACCTAACCTAACCTTCATTAATTCACTGTTCAATGTTTGTTCACACAAGTCGCCTGGTTGTTGTTGTTTTAAATTTCTAGTTCTTGTCACAAGAAAAAAAAATCACCCTTATTTATTTGTTTTAATCGACTAGTCTCAAAGTACTCACATAATTATTTTTGTTTAAGCCTTTGTACACGTCACATCTTATGAATAGTTGGTTGATATAAAGATTACTTACTCTGTGTACTTACTGACTATCAGTAATAATAATAGTAACAACAATAGACACACACACACACACAGAGAGGAAAAAATTCTCCACATTTCTTTTTTTTTGGTTATCAATGTGGGCAATAATTGTTACAGATTTTGTGTATGCATTGGACAAATTTTCTAACCACTAAAAACGAATATGAAATAGAGTACTCATTTAGACAAACTGTAGTTCCGGTTTGAATATTTTTTTCGCTCTGTAACAATTAAAACAAAAACATAACTTAAATACGGATTGTACAGTACTTAGATGAATTTCAATTAAAATACACAGAGAATGTGTGTTTGCATGGTTTATTCTGGTTAGAGTAGGTTAGTTAGTTAGTTAGTAATGATAATAGTACACGCAAACATGCAGATACTACAAGTGATTATTACTACTACTATTACTCACACTACTACTCATACTACTACTACTACTACTACTACTACTACTACTACTACTACTACTACTACTACTACTACTACTACTACTACTACTACTACTACTACTACTACTACTACTACTACTACTACTACTACTACTACTACTACTACTACTACTACTACTACTACTACTACTACTACTACTACTACACCTTTACATATCTGGGCAGCATCATCGACGAGAAAGGTGGATCCGATGCAGATGTGAGGGCGCGGATTGGCAAAGCAAGGGCTGCATTTCTACAGTTGAAAAATATCTGGAACTCCAAATAACTTTCAAACAAAACCAAAATCAGGATTTTCAATACAAAGTTCAAGACAGTTCTACTGTATGGAGAGGAAACATGGAGAACTACGAAAGGCATCATCCAGAAGATACAAGTGTTTATTAACTGCTGTCTACGCAAAATACTTCGTATTCGTTGGCCAGACACCATCAGCGACAACGTACTGTGGGAGAGAACAAACGAGATTCGAGTGGAGGAGGAAATCAGGAAGAAGCGTTGGAAGTGGATAGGACACACACTACGAAAAGCACCTAACTGCGTCACGAGACAAGCCTTCACATGGAACCCTCGATGAGAAAGGAAAAGAGGAAGGCCAAAGAAAACATTACACCGAGAAATAGAGAAAGATATGTAAAGAATGAACAAACATTGGACAGAACTGGAGAGGGAAGCCCAAGACAGAGTTGGTTGGTGAAAACTGGTTGGCGGCCTATGCTCCATTGGGAGGTAACAGGCGTAAGTAAGTAAGTAAGTACTAAGTCTTCTTCCCACACTTTTCCACTATCATTAATCATTCATTAATTAACTCCATGATAGAAGTAAGGAAAAATTATTCATCATCATCAAGGGGTTCATAGAGAGATTGTTGTGTTTCATTGAAATTATGAATTGATTCGTGTTAGACTACTATTAGTGAAAAGCTAGAAGCATGGAACTCCTCACTAGTGTACATCCATGACCTTCGATCTTGCGTGTGAACGCTTAACGTGTAGACCATTGAGTTGACAGTAAATAACGTTAATGCGTTAATTGCAATCCATCTATGATGTTGCGCAACTGTCATTCTGTGTCTGCAGAGGGTAGCTGTCTCCAACCTAACTTAGTTGAACTCCATTGAACTATGTAAGTAATACAACCTACGTAAATCGTCTTCATTAATAACAATCATATGCTCATTAATGACTAGATTTTAGATAAATTCCTAGAGTTCTAGTGGGGATTTGTAATTATTAGAGTTCAATCTGTGTTGATTGTGATACAGTTATCTGCTTCAAGCAATAGATGAAGGTTGTTCAACCTTATAGATTGATTAGACTTAGAGATTAACACTATTTGATATCAGTTCAGTGGTCTATGGGTTAGCAGTTCGCTCGCGATATCGAAAGTTCTGGATTCGATTCCAATGTATGGTAATCGTGGATATGCATTGATAATAAGTACCGTCATCCTGTAATTCCAGGCCTCTAGCGGTAATCTAACACTGATCGCTTCATCATGATCTCAATGAAGCTCAATAATCTTCACAATCCTTTCAAACAAATTATCATGTACTCGCTAGTGACTAGTTTCATAAGGAAGTTTCTTTGAGTTCTGATGGGAATTCGTAACCAGTGGAGTTCAATCCTGTTCGGATGTAGGCACTAACTACCGACGATAAATGCTCGAGGTCGCCAAAATATCCTTAGATTGATCAGAGCTAGACATTAACGCCGTAGAGATACCGGCTTCGTGGTCCGGAGGTTTGGAGTTCGCACGGAATACCGAGGGTCGTGGGTACGCAATTCTGATGAGTAGTCCAGAGATGGTGGACGTTCAGTGATCTAACGTTGACCAATTCATGATTTTAACAATGTATCATGCATAGTGTAGACATTTAGTTCATACGAATATATGGATACTCCAGGCTGAAGCCCAATAGCAGTAGGAGAAGCATGAAGTTACTTACTAATTCACGCCTGTCACCTGCAGTTTGAGTATAGGCCACCGACTACCACTCTCAAACTCACTCTGTCCTGGGTCTTACATTCTAGTTCTGTCCAATTTTTATTCATTCTTCTCATATCTGTCGCCATTTCTCGGTATAACATGTTCCTTGGCATTCCTCTTTGCCTTTGACCTTGAAATTTCCATGTAAGGGCATGTCATGTGACGCAGTTCGGTGCATTCCGCACTGTGTATCCTATCCACTTGTAGCACTTCTTCCTGATTTCTACCTACACTGAAATCTGATTTGTTCTCTCCCATAGTAGGTTATTGCTTATGATGTCTGGCCATCGGATATGAAGTATTTTGTGTAGACGACTATTAATAAAATACTTGAATCTTTTGAATCATGGCTTTTGTAGTTTTCCGAGTTTCCTACTCATAGAGTAGAGTTATCTTGATGTTTGTATAGAAAAATTCCGACTTTGATGTTTGTTAACAGTTGTTTCGAGTTCCAGATATTGTTTAACTGTAAGAATGCAGCCCTTGCTTTGCACATCCGTGAACTTAGAGAACTATGAAAGTCATCATCCACAGGATACAAATACTTATTAACAATTGTCTACGAAAAATACTTCGGATTCGTTGGCCAGACATCATCAGCAACAACCATTTGTGGAAGAGAATAAACTAGATCCCACTGGAGGAAGAAATCAGGAAGAAGCGGTGGAGTTGGTGGATAGGAAGCACACAGAGGGAAATCAACCAACTGTGTCACAGGACAAAAACCCACATGAAATCCTCAAGGTAAAAGGAAAAAAGGAAGACCACTGTTAAAAACCTGTAGACATTGTACAAGCATTTCACACTAATATGTGACTCTTCAACAATGTGATTCGATTACTCCTCACGTGGGACTCGAACCTAGGACCTTCGGTTTCAGCTGCCAACACTTATCCTCATAACCAGTGAGACAAACTTCATGAGTTCTATTACTGCTTGCTTAGTCATGGATGTATACTGCTTATGAGTTTGATACTACAACTAAAATCGTCATCTAATACGCCTAGGTTTTCAATGATAATTTAACGCTGATCAAGTTTATGCTTTCAGTAATGATACTCAACAATCTCCACAACCCTATTCTAACATTTATGATGTAAGTATTTTCTTGAAAAGCGTCAAATTATTATTGTTCTTATTTTTTTTTGGTCTAATTTTGACAGTAGACAACACAACACCAGATGACATGAATGTTTTCCCACTTTTTCGCAAATCCATCACCAACAGTTTGGATCGATATTTTTCATTGTCCTCTACAAGTTTGAATAATGAACACTTCAATTTTCCATCTCTCTCTCTGTCTCTCTCTATCGCTCCATTGTGTTTAAGTAATGCGTGTAATTATTACACAAGACAAAACAAGTATGGTTGCTGTCAAAATGGAAACAAATCAGTCAGTCTGTTCCGCCTCCCTTCCTATTTCATACAACTTGACTCTCAGCTTCGTCCTCTCTCTCTATCTATCTCTCTTTCTATTCTTCCCTGTGTTTTGTCTCCCACCTCTAAATTTTTTTTTCTGCGTTTCTCATTGCTTCGAACTTGTCATGTATATTATATTATATCATATATTTCAGTCTGGGAATATTAAGCAGTTGTTTTTGTCAGTTCTCTTATAAATATTATTCGGAAGTAGTAGTAGTAGTAGTAGTAGTAAGTAGTATTAATATCAGTAGTAGTAATTGATTACTAGGGGAAAAAACAATTCATTCTTCACATCGATTATGTCATTCTTGGAATGAAACAACGCACACACACACACACACCAAACACCAGATTCGAAGACAGATTCACGCGCGCGCGCGCACACACACACACACACATGAATTGATAATATTTTTTCAACAGAGTCCAATTTAATTATGAGTTGAATTTCTGATAAAAAAATAATTTTTTTCTATGGAAAAAAAGGGAAAAACCTCATTGTAAGCTTGCGGTGAAGGAGAACTCACAGGTGAGGGCAACCGAATTGTATTTATCAGAAAATTACAGAGTTACTCAGTAAAATTGGAAAACCAAATCGTAAATCGTTCGTTAATTTGCAAAATATCAGTCCATCCTATCGAACTGGACTGTTCCTGTTGCAAAACATCAATCCATTGTCACTACTATTCATGCATTTCATACAAATTCCATTGTGTTCCCACTCTTCCTTTCTTGATCTTACCCCATCTTCTGCTGCTGCCAGACATTACGTTGACGCTCACGTCATATATTACTTATAAGTAGCTCACACCACAAGCTGAGATGATGGATAGTAAGTATATATATATTTCAAACATTCACTATTGAACTTGACTGCGTTACATGTTGTTGTTGTTGTTCATTGTTCAATGTTGTTTGAACATCCAGTGCCTGGATTTTGTTACCGTCAAGAGAACAATTCAAATCTAAACAATATTACTTATATCATTAAAGAGTAATAATGGTAGAATTTACTGAAAATAATATAATAATAATAATTATTATAATAAACTCTACTCCAATGTTTTATGTTATATAGACTATTTTTGTTATGAAGCTAAGTTGAAATCACAAAAAAATCGATTAGATTTGTTTTTGAATCAACCTAGAATCATATTTCAATGACAAGAATAACCAATTTAAATCATTTCCTGTAAAAAGTTATTTTAGAACAAACAAACAAAAAATAGTATGATTAATCAATCTAGTTTAGTTTAGATTTTATTTTTTTTTATTATCCTGTCTATACATAATTGGAGAAGAAAGATTATTGACTATTGAACAGACAGAGTTAAATATGGCGGCTGGCTTAATTATTGAGTGTAATATATTGAAATGTTGTAATATAGACTACTATATTTTTACATATGTTGGCAGCATCATCGAGGAGAAAGATGGATCCGATGCAGATGTGAGGGCGCGGATCTGTAAAGTGATGGCTGTATTTCTACATTTGAAAAATATCTGCAACTCCAAACAAATATCAATCAACGCCAAAATCAGGATTTTCAATACAAATGTGAAAACAGTTCTACTGTATGGAGAGGAAACATGGAGAACTACCAAAGCCATCATCCAGAAGATACAAGTGTTTATTATCAGTTGTCTTCGAAAAATACTTCGGATTCGTTGGTCAGACACCATCATGAGCAACGTACTGTGGGAGAGAACAAACCAAATTCCAGTTGAGGAAGAAGTCAGGAAGAAGCGTTGGAAGTGGATAGGACACACACTACGAAAGACACCTAACTGC